ATCGAATAAAATTGCACGTAAATGTAGATAGACTAAATATGTAGAAGAAAACGTTACTTTTGAAACAAACTTCTTGAAATATGATGCTCTCACAGATAACTGTGTAAATACATGTGAGCGGTAAAAATATCATTTTGTCAATTTTCAAATCGAACTCTTTACCCAAAAAACATCAAATCAAAGAATAATTTTTTTGAAGTAAAACTTCTTTAGGCGCGACTAGGGCGTAAATCCGTACAAATGCAACGGAAGTGCGTTACGACAGACAAGAGTCGAGTGCCAATGATTCGTCATTCGCACTCGATGATATCATTTCTATACGGGTCGATTGTGATTAGCCGTCGCGTATGTGAATAGAGATCTGTCGTTGTATGAGTACCGGCGTCAACGTTTTATGCGTACCTATATCAACAAGGAAAGCGGCATAGATAAATAAACATTTTAAAATTGCATCGTAGTACAAATGTTGATTTAATGAAAAATGCCTAAATTAGAAGACTATTTTACCCTGTCCCCCGTAAATAATTAAAATGAAAATAATAAAACAAATGCAGCATTTGCGCCGTGTATGAAACATAAGTTTATTGAAATAATTTCTATATTATTTGCAGTTTCTATAAATCTTTGAAGTTATTGAAATGAAGAATATTTTTAGGCAAAACAAATATTACAGAAATTCATAGAATGAGATTATATCGCCAGCGAAAAAGTAACAAAAATACAAGCAGTCAATGAATGTATGTTAATTTTAATTACATGAAGTTCTTCAAGCACAATTACATGATGAGTGAAGTTGAAAAAACAATGTTTAGGCGTTGTTTAACATAATCCACTGTGTGAACAAAATTAATTATCAATCAGCAATCACTTCATTTCTCTAATGAAGGTTCATTTCTTAATGCTAATTACAATGACAAACCGATCATGTTATATTTTAAGTATGACTTGAATTACATTATTGTTTTTCAATATTATACATGTTTTTAATTTTATTATAAATATATAATTTATAATTTATAATTTATCATTATATAAATGTGTGTAATGGTTGACACTAATAAATATGTGCATCACGAGTGTTACCATATTACTAGTAAACATTATTCAAAATTGTTATATGATGCATTCAATTTTACTTAAATACCATCTTGCACCGTAGCAAATAAGCCTTACTTCAATCGCGTGTGAACTTTACGCGCACTCTTTTATATCTTTGCATTTCAAGATTTTCCGAATTTACATATCTTAAAAAAATGATATTGTGTGATATGAATGTTTGCATGTTTGGATAGATTTCGGACATGTTGCTGATGATTAAAATAATATATAAGAGTTAGGGACTATCTAAAACAGAGGTAAGTAGTTACAGGCGTTCTTTAAACGATATTAAAAAAAATTATAGTAATCGCAAAAACATCTATAATATATCCATATTTCAAAGGTTTCAAAACTTTTTGACATACTTTAAAAATGGCTGTATGCGTGTGTGTTTGTGTATGTATGTTCGGATACAATTTTTTCACAATTGGCATTTTTGGCACTTTTTGCCACAATTTCGAGCGCATAGATCAACCGATTTGAATGATTTAAAAAGCATTCGATTCCTACTGACGGGGAGACGTGCTGATTAGTTTTTGGCGAATACATGTGAACCGTTTCGAAGAAATGTGGTAAAAAGTGCCAAAAATGGTAATCTAGCTTTTAAAGTAGGGGAGCGTCCAATTTGAATTAATAAGAAACATTTTACTTGCATTGACGGGATGAATAATTGATTAAATTTTTGGGAAGGCAGATCCAGCGGTTTTGGACATACAAAGGAAAATTTAAAAATTAATAATATTTGGTGATCTAGAATGATCATTAGACATATATCTACATATCAAATTATCAGATACTTTATTGAGATTTTAATCACGAGAACTAATTTTGTTACAATTTTGTGGGGTTTAGTTCAAAGTTCAACAAATAGAAAAATTTTCAATTTTTTTTTTTAGGATTTTCAAAAATGCACAAGGTATACAACCTTTAAACATAAATTTTAAATATACAATCTTAAATTCATACATTATAATCATGCGCTAAAGACTTGATTTAAGTGTTTTGGAAGAGCACATTTGCTTTTAAGGTAACGGATATACGATCTGAAATAATTAAATTATATTTATATTGGTATAAAAAAGTAAATATATTTCGGAAAATATGCTTCTTTACATTTGACATTATACTTTTAAGAATGTTTATTCGAATAAAACACATTTTTTGAAAACCATTTTTTATATTTTTCGAACTTTTTCTGTAATTTGACGTAAACATCAGCTAATCGATTCTCGATAAATTTACTAAACTTCCATTTATCAATATGTGATAATAATAGATAGAAATTCATTCGCTCGACAAAGAAATTATTAATATCCATCTGTATAAGTTATTGATGATGTTTCGCTTTGTGAATAAATCGGAAATGGATGGATTCAATTATGCTGAGTCCGAAAATAACTTTGAGCTTTTACGAGTCAACATTGATGAAATATTTTGTGGGATAGACTCAAGTCAGCATATTGTTTCGAAACAAAATATATTTTGAGGCAAAGATGTAAGGCAGAAAAGATGAATAGGAAATAATGGAGAATATATGGTATTTAGAAAATAGATATGAATTAGTATATAATCACATTATTGTAGTGAGCAGCTTACAAATAATTATTACAGAATCAGCGTACTTAGACACAGAAAACTGTTGTATACGCTTTGCTTATAAAATTATTAAATTAATAATTAATTTATCCAGTATTGTTTGAATTTTGTAACATAAAGGAATGACATCCTATGTTAGTACCTCACAGCAGAAATCATTCTATAAAATACTACAAAAAATTTATCTCGTAAGTCATAATAACTTGACTTAATGATGCTAACAACAAAATTAAGATTTTGTAAGAAAAACTTGTGTATAAGTTTAAGTTGGCTAAAACTTATTTAGTGCCAAATATAACATTGTTCACATGTTGTATGTAGATGTGTTAAGACTTGAAGAGAATAAAATGAAATGGGCAAAGTTTTCGACGGTATTTTTATTATATGAAATACCTCAGTCTGATATTTTTTCTGGTTTCTTTTGTATAAACTACGTTTCCAACCCATAAAAGCTCACATATTTTTATACAAGGTGTAACACGTTGAGGTCGGTTTCTAACGTTATTCTCCTGAGAGTAAAAATGAAATGCCGCCTTTAGAGCAAACAGTTTTCAAGTTGTTCGGTAAAAGTTGCATTAAAACTTTGAATATTGATAAATTGTATACAAGATATTCATAGTATTTCAAAATCGATACGGCTCCATAAATACGTCTTTTTTTACTTCACAATTTTTTAGTAATTCAGTTTTCGTACATTGGTTTTTAATTGTGAGTCAATTACAACTATTTTACATTATATTTTCGTATGTAGATCAATGCACAAAAGTTGTATGTAAACAACAAGTTTTCATTAATATATTAAAAATTTGAAAATCAGTTGATCACAATAGTTTGTATAAAATATGAAAAAAAAAATTATATACCTTGCAAAATATTTATTTAATATATCTATTTAAATAGCTGAAATTTAATATATCTATTTAAAACTGCGCTCACAAGGCGCACGACATTTGACAAATTCTAATAATAACTTTAGAAGTATAATAAAAAAATGCGTTCTTACGCTCAGAATCAGAATGGATTTGGACTTTGGAATTTATGAAGATCTATAAATATATTTCTGATGAAATTAATTAATCCATGTAAAGTTGATCATGATATTTATGTACACTTATGATTATATCTATTGTATCTACTTATAATTATATTAAATATTATTTTTATTATTGTGTTACTATTATTAGCATAATATTATTATCATATATACAGAAAATGATTTTTGGCAAAATTCGTATTAATATTTAAAAAATACTAATAAATTTTCTCTTCATAAATTCATCTCATTATTAAGTCAATTTAAGTCAAATCAAATATCTATAACATATTAAAAAAATAAACTAATTTTCCTACTTGATTGTTTAATTGTATTTTTATTTAAAAATCATCTAGTTATATGCTCACTACAGCATAAAGATTTGAGTCACCACTGTAATAGTTGGTGAAGGATTGACATTGAAAATACTACGATAAATAAATATCATTTCCGAAATTTTTCTTTATTTTGAACAAGTAATTTAGGAGTTAAGTTGAAATAGTAATGAAAATAGTAAATGAATTGTGTAGAAGATTGTAAGGTAAACATATTGCTAATAATTAATGATTGTTCAACATGCCAATATCATATTTTCTTGAATTGATTTATCATTTTTATATATGTCACTGACTTCTCCTAAATGTCTACTTATCCGCAAGTACTCAATGTATCATATGAAATTGATAAATTGACAACGGTTTTATTGAAGTAAATTTGTTTTTTTTTGCTTTTTATTGTCATATTAATTGTCTGTTGTTCATGGCATAAAACCAAACTAAATTTGTGTTGTGCTTTAATTGTTAATGTCTAAATAAGTCTATTTTTTGTGAGAATTTTTTTGCATATTATAAAACTAGAAAAGTTTGTATTTTTTTGAAAAATAACGTACAAAAATACTTCTCAAAAACGAACATTTGTTAGTATCTAAAGTTCAAATCACTGTATTTTTTTCTTTGATTTAATTTAAACTGCAATGTACGAAAAGAGTTCTAAACTCTTAGCTGTCTAAATGTTCTATCAATTCAGATTATTTATCGTTCAAATTTACTATTTTCTTGTATTGACTAGAATCTCAATTTCGCTAAATGTTATTAAATACTTCTTCTCCCCGTAGCTAGTACATCATACGAGCGACCGTGAAATTCCTGAGGCAGTTTAATACTCGTTTCAGCTATTTGCTTAATACAGTTAAAACGTTCACGGGATTCATAACACATGACACGCGAGGCGTTAACGTTTAAATGACACTTAAGTGTTACACGTTTGTACTTACATTGTGGTACCAAGTGATGCGATGCTCCTTAGGATTAGCTCGTACATGGCATTCAAAGTACACGTCATCGCCCTCTTTAATGTCCTCAGGATTCAAAGTGCTGCCTAGTGTCAGTGTCACCAGGGGAGAGTCTGTGGGCAGACGATGGAATTTTTGTGTTAAGTGTTAAAATACAATTATTTTTATATTCACTGATTAAAATCCTATCATGTTATCACCTAATCAAATAGTACTATAATGTAGATGTGACCAAGTAGTGCGACCGCATAGGTCGTGCCAAAGCAATATTTTATGAACTGATACAGTTAAATAAAATTATTTAATTAACTAAGAAAATGAAACAGAAATAACAAAAAAGTAAGTAAAAGTGATCTGTAAAGTTTCTACTATTATTGTGAATTGTATTACTTTTACGGCAAAAATATTATTCTGATACTTTTTTCTTACTAGGGCTAATTTATATAATTTACTTGGCAAACATTTAGATATATTTAACAGGAAAAAATTGTTAAAATTATGTCAGAAGTTTTATTTTCAAACTTGAAATTTGGATATAAACTTTATAAGTCAAAAGTACAAGATCGCTCCACCGTACTCCGTAAGCTTGGTATGAAAATGATGAGCATGTGTTTATAAATAATTTATTTACATTATGTAACTAGAATACAGTTTATATGCCTGATTCATAGAGTTATTTTAAAAGATCAAATAATTAGTAAATCTGCAAAAGCATAAGCATTTTTCAGTAAATTGAAAAAAAAACTTCTTATAAGTCAGTAAGAGTTCTACGTACTAATATTAAATTTATAACATTCAAAGAAAATGTTTTTACTCCACTTACATAGAACATCCAGATGTATTGTATCTTCAAGTCCATGACCCGGCAGTCGCAAATTATCCCCTCGACACGACAGTTGAGTATTGTGGTCGTCTGGGGTAGGTGTAAAGGTCAAAGTTGACATTAACCATGTTGCATTCGATGCTTCCTCGATCTAGAATAAAGTATACTATTAACAAAATGTACTTATACTTATGTAAGACTTATTAAAATTCAACCCTTAGGCAATTTTTTAGAGATGATTAGTTTTTAAATGTAATTTATAATAAATTGTGTTATTATTTTATAATAAAATTTTCATTTTTTTATAGAACCTCTGAGAGAATCTACAATTCTAATACAAGCAAATTTGACTAAGTCATGCTGCATTAATTACAAACGTTAAACTAAGGCAAATCAAAAAACTATATTTCTAATTGCAGCCAGTGTTATGTGATAAATGATTAAATAGTGACGGTATAATTTACATCATTCACGGACGATCAAAAACGAATTAAGCTTATCACCTCAGAGTCTTTAATGCCCTTAATGCCATCTTTTCTCATTAATATTAACATTGTTTTGTCTAGACTACTCTATAAAAATGTCACAAATACTTAGAGTTTATCATATCAAGTTACACAAATAAATGATGAAAAACGTATAGAACGGGCTGAAAATATATTATTTTATATCTGAAATTGGTTGAGTGACAGGTCTGTCTCAAGTCTATTATATTACGTCTATGACTTAAAGAGATAAATTATTTGAGTTATATGCGTGTTCGTATATAAAATGATCTAAAAATTTATTTAGGTATTCAGAAAAATAATATAACTGACGAGATCGATTCTATAGCGTATCAGAAATATGATACTTAGTATCTTCGTTATTTGTAAATAGTTTTCAGTTTCTCATAAAAATAAAGTATACATTTATCTATTTATCTTCTAATAGCTTTTGATAAAAAATGATGAAAAATTGATAATGGAATTCTCTACATAAACTGCTGAAACGCATTATAGTTCAATAACAGAGTAGAGGCTATTCTGAAGATGTTACTAAAAGGATTCCTTAGATAGTTTATAAAGTTCCGCACAATACCGCACAATACTTGTGGATTTACTGCGACTTTAGAACAACATGAACGTCTTAATAATGTGGAAACTATTTGTAATGGCCATTGAGGCAATTATGTGGATGTATAAAACAGTAGTTCAAATGAAAATATAAAGTATATAGATGTAATGAAATATAAACGAGGTTTTTATTGATAAGATCGGAGGAATAAATTTTGCTACTTACAATTATATTCGATACCAATTAAAGTTATTAATTTTTATTATAAGTAGTATTAATATATATTAATGACAATATTGAAATTTCGATAGCTTTTTATAAATAAACGGCCTATCGTGGAGACGTAATATTTTGGTATGTTTTTTTTTAACTCTATGATATCTATTATCAACAAAGTTTTATAAATGTAGATCAACAAATAATTATGCAGAAACGGCCCGGCTGATATATACCAAATACTTATTATCACGATTACTATAGAAAAAAAGTAAAGCGGGTCCTAAAGGTCAGCGGGTTAAATAGTCCGAAATTAATATTTTAAAAACGAGTAAATTTATAAAAAGTTCAACAATGTTTGAAAGTAGAAGGCAAAAATGTATTACCAACGAGCTAAGCGACCACATTGTCCATTTTGTAACAATTTGTTTTTTTGCGTTGTGAGACTGTTCGTTTTTGAACGATTAGTTTGCGAAACTTAAATATAGTTATTTTTATGTTAGATTCGAGAATTTTATTTCTATAACTATAACTGTATGTGAAAGATGTATCCAGCAATCTTTTTAAAAAATGTACCGCTAAATTTAAGAGTTTCAAACGTACAGAAGTTGTATTCACATAAGTTGTAAAAATTTCAATAAGCCTATAAAAAGTTGTATTCACATAAGTTGTAAAAATTTCAATAAGATTATAATAAATTAATATTAATAAATTAGTAAGAGTTGATATTTTTTGTTACGTAAAAATTACGTTACGTGTTTGTTAAAAATACATCTTTAGATTATGATTTTTAATTTGTTCAACATGTACTTTGAGTTATTTGATCTATGTATCATATAACTAAAAAAAAGTAGAATAATAAATAATAAGCTATTATATCATTCTCATCACCTGACTCATTGCAAGAAAAGGGATTCAAAATAAAACTATGTAGACTTTCCAGCACATCATCGGCGAGTGCCGGTAATGTAATCATTATATCGTGTCTGAGAGGATAAGGAAAAATACGCTTTCACATTGCACACCTTTGAAAATTCTTCAGCAATTCTCACATAAATGAAAAATGATTTAATCATGAGCAGATTCTCGCAGCGTTGTATCTTTTCGTGAGATGCTTTCTAAGAAAATAAAGTTAGAAGTTTTGTCTAAAGTTCGCTACTAAATATTACAAAATATGATGAAAACTTATACGCTCGGAAGATATTTTTAATAAAATATGTGACAAAGTTTTGCATAACTCCTCAGTCTTTTTATTTTTCAGGAGAAATTGAATACAATGAGATTGGATAGAAATACTTATTGCATTTAGTTTAAAAAGTGCGACGGAAGTTTAATTAAATGACTGAGATGTATTTCAGTACACATTGAAATTAAGAATTTTTACGGTAATGTGAAATAAAGTTTTCATAGGTAGTATATTGAATTACAAAAAAGAAAATTATTAATTGGATTGTTTATTTAATTTTAAATCTTTATTATTTTTTAATTTTGAAAACTAGATTTTTTTCAAGCAGTCGGGTTGAGTAGCTTCTTTAGAGCCGGTAAAGCACTATAAATCTTGGTACGGAACCAATAAAAATGTGAACAAAACCTGTGCATATCAATATGTAAATTAAATTATTTCTGAATTATCTGACAATTTGATGTGCACACATCTAATGATCATTTTTTCCCATCAAATGATTTTGTTTTATCCCATACATCTCCAAAACCGCTGGATATGACTTCCCAAAAATGAATCAATTATTCGATTGATGATTTCGACGGATTTACCAATTTAAATAATTTTATTCCTATTGACAAAGAAACATGCTGATTAGTTCAAATAATTTTGGCAAAGATAGGTCCAACCGTTTCGAAAATGCGGGGCAAAAAATGCCATAAATGGCAATTCAATTTTTGAGAAAACGGAGCGGCCGATTTGAATTATTTAAAAAACATTTTACTTGTTTTCATGAAATGGAGAACTGTTTAAATTTATGGGAAAGCAGGACCAGCCAAATGCAATTTGACGGTTAAAAATGATCATTAAACATATGCGCATCAAATTATAAGATAAAAATGGAAATTTTTATATATCTTTACGTTTCAAAGGTTTCTAAACATTTTGGCATACCTTAGGAAAATTGGATGGATGTGTGTGTGTGTGCGGATACTAATTTTCGTCGACGATTTCGGGAACACGGATCAACCGATAAAACGGTAACTCAGTTTCTAAGAGAACGGGACGTCCGATTTTAATAATTCAAAAAATCATTTTATTTGTATTGACAAGATGAGAAACTGATCAAATTTTTGGATAGGCAGGTCTAGCGGTTATGGACTCTCAAAAAAAATAAGTTAAAAAAATATTTTGCGGTAAAAAATGTTTATTGGACTTATGGACATCAAATTATCAGGTATTTTATAGAGATTTTCATAATGTGTACGCATTTTGCGTGTTTTTTTTAGGTTCCGTATCAAGATTTTTTTTAGGTTCTATTACCAAGAACGGAATGTTCCAGTAATTCGCCTTAAGGCACGATGCCAAGCACCCCACTAGTTATAAAATATGTTTAACCGTTAGACTGCTGCGGGGCCTCTTCTTTAAAATATTCGCACAACACGATTGCCTTGAAAGAAAATTGAAAATTTTGAAAAAAAAATCAAAATATATTTTAAGAGTCAATTTCCTTCAAAAATTTTAATTTTAAATTTTAAAGCTTTTAAGAATTCTAAATTACAGTACGGAAAGCAATTTCCTCTACTTTCAACTATTTTTGTTAAAAAAATCCAGCAATTTGCCTGAAGGCACAATGCCATGCACCGTTAGTATTTATTCAAACATATGTTATACCACAATATCTAATTATTCAAGGATTTATTTTGTATACGTGTGATGTAATCTGTATCAATTCTCTGAAGCAAAGTTTTAAGTGCTGTCTCATCATAAGTAGATTTCTCTTTAAGGACGCATCGGAACGTTGTATTTCATTCACTATTTTTATTCATATTGTGCACGTTCGCAAACTCGTAGTTTTTGTTATTCAGGAAGCATCTAGAGATGTCAGAGTCCCTTAAGTTTCTGTACCAGCCATAAGCCCACAAGTAATATCAACACGTCCACTGACATTTTGCTTCACTTCTCCTCGTGCGGATACACGACGCTTCGGCGATTTGTTCTAGGCGGTCGAACATATGTTTCATAGTATTAATATCGAACGTATCGGGTTTTGTGTTTAACAAAAAAAATTGTAGCATTTATTGTAGAGTAGAACACGGTTATATTTATATTATTACACTATAAAGCTTTACCCGAAGAAATGTCTATAAAGTTTTACCACATCTCAACATTTCTTTTCAAGAACTTCTCACAACCATGTTTTTTAAGAATTGATTTCGGAATATATGTTTAAACGAGTTTTGTCTTCATTTCATTTCAGAAAAAATAAATTCTACAATTAAATAATTTAATATCAAAGGTTTATACTTGTAAACTTCCCGAAGGAGAAGTTTGTTTTCATAAAAAAATCCGATTCACTAATTTTATGTTTTCTCGATGTTTAAAGCCATCTCGTATGAATCAAGTAAGACCAAATTTGGTAAAAGTAAGTGTGTGTGTATGTGAACAGATTTTTTGCCGTAAATCGACGTTCTCTCAAAAACGGCTGGATCAATTTAAAGAATTTAAAAGCCATTTGATGTATTTCGATGAGGACTAGCGTTTATCAATAAAAATGCAAAAATAGTGAAAAACATTTCGCTCACGTTTTAGCTCGCAATTCTGAACCGTTTTTGAAAATTCAAAAACTATTCGAAAAATATTGGTTGGGAATCATGCTGATTAGTTTTTGGTAAAGATAGGCCGGGACGTTTTCTTGTAATAGTGTGCTAAAAAAA